GGTGAAGGGAGGGCTAGGAATGGGGAAAAAATAAGAACCAAGATGCATCATGTAAAGGTACAAGTTCCCAATGAGCAATGTAAATGTGTTGTATACCTAAAATGTACCAATAAAAGAATTAAAAAGAAAAAAAAAGATGTGGGTGTTGGGTATTTTGTCCCAGCAACAGGAAAGCTGACTAATACAACTGAGCAATGATGATCAGCACAGGAGGGAATTTTAGAAGGACAGTGATTCATCATATCAAAACCTTTGGGATGAGCAAGAAATTTTCACTGGTAAATCAGCTAAAAAGCAGCTAACAGTGGATTAATGAGGCGCAGAGGCAAATGGTTGAGAAGTAGGCTGAAGATTTTAAAAAGTTTAATTTTATCATCTACTTGAAGACGGCAGAAACATACCTTGCTATTTTCAAATTGACTCAATACTGTATTATGGTATTCAATGTATGCTTAATCCATAACTGTGAGAGGACTTTCTTGGTGCTAGAAGGCCTGTGCTGGCTTCCCTTTGACTATTCACAACCCCAACTACCTGATGCCTATGAAACACTGTTTAAAAAGTCTGTTAGGATATTTAGAGAAGTAAGGGATCTGAAATATAATAACTTTAGAACATACCATGCTAGCCAACACATGCTCACACTTCACAAACAGGATTCTCTCTACATGAGTTACAAGGTCTGACATTCTACAACCATGCAAGAATAAGGTTTCAGTTGCTCTGGTGAGAGAGGCCTACCTGATTTGCTGTCTGTCCTTGGGTCCATGATGACGAACTCTGGCCGAAGCTTGCTGACACGCCTCCCCTTAAGGATGGGTACAAGCCCACCCAGGTACTCTAGGTAGAGTGTGTAGCATGGGCCACCCACCTCCGGGTCATCCTCTGTGCGTTTCATGGTGCAATGTAGCCGCTCGTTGCCAGCCGAGGGGTAGCTGACAAAGTCTCGCATGTTGTTGGGGTCTGGAATTGGGGGCTAGAGTAGGACACAGGCAGAAAAAGAAAGATGGAATTCCAGAGACACAGAGAAAGAAACAGAGAAGGTACAGGGCAGGTCAGCTAAGAAGTTGCTGTCACTCCAACAGAGTACAGGTTGGCAACTTGACAGAGGTTAGTTACATGGTGTAGTTCACCATGTGAACCATCCACAGTGGTTCACAGCTGTGGGTGCACATCATCTGTTTTTTCTAGTACAATATAATATATCAGGGTTGAGAACTGCTGGTGTGGAATTAATGTTGTAAGGCAACTTAGAAAAACATCACAAGAGATTTTAAAAGTCTGATGTAAAAGTGAAAAATTATCAAAAGAAATCAATCTGATACTTAGAAGTTAAGGGAAACCCATGAGCAGCAACTGGTAGGTCTATTCCACATGCTGCCACCATTTCTGGAGATAGTCTGTATAAAATATAGCTAGCAGCTGTCCTGTGTAGGGGTCACCCATTAGCACAGAAGAGAGGTAAGGTGGCCACAGAATTGCACTGAGTCTAATCCTGACTATTCTTCTAACTATATATGGGGCAAGTCACTTACTTTTACAAACTTCTTTCTTGTTTTCTCAAATGGGAATACTATCAGCATCTGCCTGAAGTCAGGATTGAACCAAATAGATTTCATAAGGTTATTTGTGCAATGTTTAGTATATAAGAGGTGCTAAATAAATGGTCATTCCTTTGATCATCAGGATGACATAGGAGTCAAGCTGGGAGAACCAGGGAGGCCATAAGAAAGATAAGGCCCATCACCCTAGGTGAATCTTACACCAGCACTAACAGGGATGATCAGCATGGACTGCAAGCATGGATCTTCCATGCAGGCATGGTAGGACCCCAGTCCACAGGCAGCGATCCCCAGGCACTCTGGTGGAAAAGCAGATGAGTGCTGTGTGTGTGCTCTGGTATCCTCCCCCATCTGTCTTATCTCTGTCCTCCTCTTGGTGAGCAGTGGGTGGCGTACAGGAGAGGAAGGAGGATCAGGGAAAGTGGAAGGCTTTACCTTAATGGTGGGGATGAAAGCAGTAGAGAGGTAAGAACAGAGGCGGGGGGGTAAGGTCAGCTTGCTGACATCCTTGTCTTCTCGAAGAGTGTTGGCGATGGCCTGCTGGCACAGCAACTGCAGGCTGGACACCCGATGCTCCACACGAACTACGTACAGGGCCGGCCCTGAGGCCATCAGCAGTCGTGAGTCCCGGTGGCCCCAGCAGATGGAGATGATGGGGCGCTGCCAGGCAGTGAAGGGAACACAGTGTTTAAGCTTTTGACCTTCTGGTGAGCAAAAGAGGGTAACACACACTGGTCTCAGCAAAATAAAGCGGGCTAGGGCTGGGAATTTAGCTCAGTGGTTCCGGCGCCTGCCTTGTAAACACAAGGTCCCGAGTTCAATTCCCAGTACCCCCCACCACCAAAAAAATAAAGCGGGGTGACAGTTTTGAGAATACTGGTTTAAAAAACAAAATAGAGAATGTTAAATAGTATATTATGAAAATTAAGTATTTTTACTAAAAAGTAGTTAGATCTCAGGTCTGAGCACAAGCATAGGAATAGCATAGTTCTACAATGTTCATTACATGTATTGTCTCATTTAATTTGGTGTCACAAATCCTAACTTAGCTCTGCATAATGGTGTTTCTATTAATAGAGGCAATCACCCTGGGGCATAGTCACCTATATTTCTTACTGAAGCACTGGTCATCTGGGTCCGCAAATTACCCAGTGGTGGTTCCCATGGCTTGGGGAGGTGGTGAGCAGGTAGACCAGATGACTCTTCTCTTCTGTCCCTGGGCATAGGGTCTCCAGCTGTGTGACCTGGGGACTATTCCATAGGTGGAAGCCTCCCACTTTTCTCAGGAGTCAAATGGGACATGAGGATTAAAGGAAAAAATGGTGTCACAGTGCTTCTGGGACCCATCACAGGCTACAACCCTGGTATTAAGTCATGCTGTTCTGTCATCCTCCAAGTGATGGGGCAGAAAGACAAAGAGAACGCTTTCTGGAAAGGGAAGAGATGGGGGAATAGAGTTCCTGTGGTGGCTCATGAGGAGTTTCTGGCCATCATTTCCATTGAAAAAGCAGGCTGAAATCCAAATACGCATGTCAGAAACTTCTTGTACTGAAAAAGCCCAAAGCTCGGGGATGCCATCTAAGTAAAATCAGCTAAGCAGGGAAGAAAGAGGCAGAGGGTTGTGATGGAGAAGCAGTGAGAGATTTGTTGATTCTGATCCAGACAGATGGAGCACTAATTTAATGAGGTCTTAAGGGGTTTCAGAGATCAGAAGTGGGAATACCAGATCTATTATAGGAATTACAGATAGGAACAAAATTTTCACAACACTTTAGTGACAAGCATCAAGATAAAAGGAACTGTGAAGATATTTCCTTAAAACAGCCTCCAGGGTCAGCTAATCCTGGTTTCAACTTCAAAGTGAAAATGTAAGAGTGAATATAACCCAGCTTGCATTTCCATCCATGAATCCAGGCAGCCACAGGGCAAGATGATGGCCTGAGCTCCCTACCCTCCACCACCCAAGGAGGACCATGTGATTGTTGGCTGTGAAGCCTGACACTCAATCAAGTATGGGGGCTTCTGGAGCTCTTATAAGCTGGACCTCTCATGAGATGATCCCACACAGAAGGGCTAATTCATTTACAGAAAGGCATGATCACTGCTGAAGACAGGGAAGACCAATACATTAAAAATTCTCTAACATTATCAAGCCCTATAGCACCAAAATCATGCTTAATCTTTTTCTGGTGGTACTAGGGATCGAACTCAGGGCCTTCTGCATGCTATGCATGTACTCTGCCACTGCACAACATCCACAGGCCTCATGCTTAATCTTAAAGATACACTGCTTCCCTTTTATCCTTGAGCCTCTTATGATAATATTCCTAAATTAGAGCTCAAGTTATGAAAAAGTTATCACTCAGCACAACCTGACTTGTTGGAGCTGTCTGCATAAGTATGGTGTGTCTTTCCTCCAATTTTCCATTCCTCTTTCATTGATAAATCAATCTAACATGCCAGTGGTCACAAGGCAGGGACTATAGATTTATCCTCCTGTTCTCCTCCCTCCTTCTAGTTCTGCTTTTCATAGTAACAATCTCTGTGTAAAGCTGATTACATGTTTTATATAAAATTATGTTAAATATGTATTATATTTGTACTAATAATTTACACGAACACAGACTTTAAGACTGGATGAAAATCCCCATGTAACATTTCCATGAATAATTATCACTCATCATAACAAAACCAGCCAAGTCTTCAAAACTTGCCACTTTCTAATAACACATTAAGTGCTCACTTACATTACACAGTTTGCTCAACTCTAGCATGTAGGTATCATTATTTCCACTTAAAAGTATAAGGAAACTGAGGTTAAGAGAGGCTATGGAACTAGTCACAGAGAATTGGGAAAGCTGTGACTCTCACCTTTCTCCAAATTCACAGGTGGTATTTATCTTACTGCAAAGTGCTGCCTCTCTGAACTGTTAGTATCCTGAAACAACAGCCTGAACAATGTATACTACACCTCACTCAAAATTTTTTTTTTTGGTACCGGGGATCAAACTCAGGTCCTTGTACTTGCGAGGCAGGTGGTGCAACCACTGAGCTAAATCCCCAGCCCCCTCACTCAAAATTTTAACTTTTTGTCAATCACAAATAATGAACCCACATTCTTTCCCTTGTCCATTTGGTCAAGGCTACTTAGAAACAAACCAAACAACACATCTACAGAAAAGGTAAATAGACAAGGGGAGAAACAGGGCTCATAAATTGTAAATGGATGACCTGACTAATTCACTGTGCCAGAAATGAACTCACAAAGACAAATTACAGGCAGATTGCTAGATGAACAGCAAACAGCAGGAAGATGGCATGTCTGAATGGTGAAAGAAGATAGTACTGCTGATACTGCATAAATATGGAAAGTAGACCTCTCAGCCAAACAGGAGTGAGAGGACTTGAAAGAATAAAGTACTGAAAACCAGAACTCAGGAGAAAAGAGCTGAAATTATTTTGCCTGGAGGAGTGATGTTTACACAGTCTAAAAGGAAACATTATTAGGAGCAAGGTTATCAGGAAATCCCTACTTCTAAGAATAGAGTATCAGTACTCGCTTTGGCAGCACATATACTAAAACTGGAACGATAAGAATAGAATATCAATAGGAATTTACATCAGATTAATTTGGGGTATGGGCTTATTTACTCTCCAAGTCAGTGATAGTTTATTCTTGCAAGGGGAGGGAGGACGTATGAACTTATTTTAGTTTTTATAGCACATACTCCATATGAGAAGATAAAGTAGCAAAACAAATGCTGGTACTTTTGTCATGAGAATTTTTAAGACTATATTAGAATAAGAAAGAATTTATAGATGATGAATAAGGTGCCTCTCTTGTCTGAAGATTTTGAGTTATCACCAATGTGGGGAAAATTACTGTGATTGCCATTTAGTCAAAGACTCAATTAGCAGGGCTGTGACTTCTCCCTGTTAAGTCCTGTAAGTTGTAGAAAGACCTTACTTTCTAAACATGTCACCATACTTTAAAAATCATATTTCCTATGCTGGCATTTCAGCCCATGAAGACCTTACCACAAGTGTCCTGAAGTTCTGGAAGGAACCAGAGTTACAATGGAAGGAGCTGCATACACACTCCAGTGGGGATAGGGCATATGCTAGACTTGGCTGCTTGACAGACATTGATTTCTGTCACTTTGTCCTCTGAGCTCACCATGCTGGCAGAATATGATTCTACTGCTTGCCCACAGCCCTCCCCACACAGAACATCCTTTTTCCTGAGAAATTTCTACCTTTTGGGACGAGGTGCTGAAGAGGCTCATAACCCATGCTCAACTGCAATAAACTCTAGAGTGCACTTGGGTCCTCACAAATGTACCTCCCTTAGGTTTGTTTTCTTGTCTGAACAGCTGTTGTCTGTTAGGGAAAACAGTTCTCAGTTTGTGGACTTATTCTCTTTCTCATTTTGAGAACCAATGGCTAGAATTGTGAATCTGATAATATCTGAATGCTAATTTGCATGTAAAGGGTCACATATTTTGCAAATCTGGATCTGAAGCAAAAGGGCAAGAAAGTGAGCTGCATTTCAGGAGGTGTTAGTATAGTGAAAATCTGGCACTGCTGTTAGTTCAATGGAGCAATGCAAAACATTACTCAACTAAAGGGGAGGCATCATTCATAATAGTGAGGTACAAGGTCATGGAAAGTCAAGGTGTTGCTCTCAAGAATTTCCCTGTCTGGATGCTCAAACCTGAGCCAATTCTCTCAATAACTTCCCTGTACAGATGTTAGAAGATGAGCCACATAAGGAATAGGCCTTAGCTTTTTCTTCCTCACTTCCCCTGGCCAGCAATACGGACTGGCTCAGTCGGTGACTTCTCCTTCATCTCCTTACTGCTAACCACCAATACATCCCCTGTGTCGACCCAATCATTCACTTAACTACTGTGTTACTAACCAGTCATTCAATAAACATTTGTTAAATGCATACAGTGGGCCAGATACATTCTGGGTATTAGGGAATTCAAGGTGAGTATGATCAATTCCTGCCCTCACGGCGCTTACTTACAGTCTGGGGTGGTAGGGAGACAGATAAATATCTTAACACATTCCTGCTGGCTTCAACCACCAGTAGTACATGTTTGACTGTCCCATTGGGCAGCGTGTGTACCACTGGTGATATAAACAAATCTAATCACTTTTATCAGTCTTTTTACTAATAAAATTAATAAAAACCCACCTGATGGGACAGTCATGTGCCACTGGTGGTTCAAGTTGCCTGGCAGTGAGAGATAAATTACAGACCCATCTTGAATGTGTTAGTATCTGTGACAGGACTAGCTGATAATTTTAAGTAGTAAAAATGCTATGAAGCAAAGATAGGTAAGGTAAGAGCCAAAGAAAGAGCAAGGGGGTCACTTACACAAAGAAGGGAGCAGGGAAAGCTGCTCTAAGGAGGAGGTTCAAGCAGAAGTCTGTCTGAGAGAAGGGCATTTATTTATTTACTTACTGAACTGGAATTGAAATCTTCCTTCCTTACTGTTTTTATTACTATTTTTACTATTTTATTACTATTTTTATTACTATTTTTCCATATAGTGTAGCAGTAAGGACAGAGTTTTCTAAAGATACAAAACAAAAAAGTAAGGTGTCCATTACATATTAAGTTAAGCCATCCATGCAGGTTAAAGCCAATA